TCTGCTACGTTCCCCAACAGAAGGCGCCGTAGAAGATCCCGCACCTGTGACTGCATCAGATGCAGACTCATGATGAGCCAATGATGGAGCGGTCGGGGCAGAATCTGCGCAGGAGTCTGCGTCACCGTCCCGTCGTGACAGACGCTGCACGTAGCAACGGATGTCGGCGCCAAACCGACCAGGCGCAGGGCCAAATGCGGGGCCAGGCGCGGGCGGCTCGAGATGGCGCCCTGTGGCGCTGGAGGATTGGCGCGGGGCGGTTGCATGTCGGTCCATTAGGTTGTTGTTTGTGTGAAGCGGCACGGGGCTCGAGGTTGATCGACCTAGCACGGTCGGCGCGGATCTCATGGGGGATAACACGGAAGACTGACAGGGGACAGATCCCAAGGGAGATGCACCCGGATCCCGAGGAGGATCTGCTCCGATGCTGCTGATGTTTTGTCCAGGGAGCATAAAAATGATGATTTGGGCTGATTTCTTCACCATTTTTTGCGCAGTTTTTTTCTGTTGCATCACAAGACTCAAGGCCATCATTAGTAAGAGGATTAGCCAAAAATTGATCATTAGTGGTTAAAACACCCCCATTATCAAGACCGGTAAGATGAACGGTAAAAGTAGAATCTCCTTTTGGAGAAGGGCTCCGGCGTTTGGGTGGAGGTGTGCAAAAGGGAAAATAGTTTCATCAAACACAAAGTCACGGGAAATGTAGATGCGTCCGGTTGATACATCAAGACACTTTACACCCTTATGTTGTGGACTATAACCCAAGAATACACACTGCTTTGATCGGAACATGAGTTTACGAATGTTGTACGGCCGAAGATATGGCCAACACGCACACCCAAACATTCGCAATGATGTATAGTCCGGTTTGGTGTGAAGGAGGCGTTCTACTGGAGATTCATTGTTGATGACCCGACTAGGCAACATGTTTATGAGGTGGACTGCGGTGAGAAAAGCCACATCCCAGAATTTCAAAGGCATGGATGCAGCAGCGAGCAAAGCCAGGCTGACTTCAACTATGTGTCTGTGCTTGCGCTCGGCTGACCCGTTTTGCTGGTGAGCATGGGGGCATGACACATGATGTGATATGCCAATTTGCTGAAAGAAGGAGTTCAGATTTCTGTATTCCCCTCCCCAATCAGATTAGAGAGCTAAGATTTTGGAATCAAACTTTCTTTCTACTAGTGCTTGAAAGTTGCGGAAAACTTGAAACACATCAAATTTGTTTTTGATAAGATAGATCCAAGTGTACTTGCTGAAGTCATCGATAAAGATTACGTGATAGGTGTGTCTATCAACGGAGGTGGGAGCAGGACCCCAAACATCAGAAAAAAAGAGTTCAAGAGGTTTAGTGGAGATGCTTGTAGACACAGGATAAGGTAACTGATGACTCTTAGCACGTTGACATGAATCACAAACTGTTTCACAATCACGCTTACCAACAAACAGGAGCTTATTCTTTTTAAGCAAATGTTCGACTAAGGAAGAAGATGCATGTCCTAATCTATCATGCCATCGTATTGAAGAGACTTCGGTGACACCATACACTTGTTTATTCAATCTCCTAAGCTCCGGAATCAACGGGTAAAGCCCTCGAATGCATCTATCTCGATACAGGATTTTCTTCGTGACCTGATCCTTGATCAAAAAGAAAAACTGATGAAACTCAAGGAATACATGATTGTCAATGGCAATGCGATAAACTGAGAGGAGATTTTTCGAGGCACTAGGGACATGCAAAAAATTTCTGAGACGAATATGTATATGGGGAGTTTTAATCACTGAATGACCAACGTGGCTAATGCTCATACCTTCTCCGTTGGCAGTGTGGACTTGATCTTGCCCGCGATATTTTTCACGGACCGTCACCTTCTCTAGCTCGCCGGTGTTGTGGTCAGTTGCACCGCTGGCCACATACCATTTTCTGTCGATGCCGTAGGAGCCATCTGCTGCGCCTGCAACCTTCTCGTCTTGAGACGACTCACCATCCTCTTCATAGAGGTACCAGCAGTCGCGTGCGGTGTGGCCAAGTTTGCCATAAATTTGGCAGCGCGGCGCGTCAGGATTGTTGTTGTTGTTGTTGTTGGGCCGCCCACTGGCGCCGCCGCCGCCACGAGAGGAGTTGCCGCCGCCGCTGTTTCCGCCCGCTGGTGGCTTGCCCTTGCCATGCTGTGGACCACTATAGCGTGAGGAGCCGCCGCTGCCGCGGCCGCGAGCGACCACATTTGCAGAGGAGTTGAAACCTCCGCCCGAGGTGTTGTTTTAGAGGGCGAGGCGATGATCGAAGTTGCTCATCTAGGCGTAGAGGCCATCGAGGCTGATGGTGTCGGTGCGGGCGTCCTTGGCGGAGACGAGGGGCTAGTACTCCATGTCAAGGCCGGCGGTGATGTAGGAGACAAGCTCATCGTCATCAATGGGCTTTCCAGCGGCTGCGAGCTCATCTGCGAGTGCCCTCATGTGGGCGAAGTGGGCGGCAATAGACTGCGTCCCCTTCTGCGCCGTGGAGAGTGCAACTCTGATGTTGTTGATGCGAGCTCGAGATTGCGACGAGAACATGTGATCAAGAGCTGCCCAGAGCTCGTGCGGCATGGCTATGGAAGTGACCTGCACGAGGACCTCTTTGGTGAGGGTATTAAGCAAGTATCCGAGTACCAACCAGATCGGATGGAGAGGGTTTGGAGTTTGCTCTTCTTTCTCATCTTTGTCCTTCGTGGTGAGGAACTTGACGGGCTCCGGCATGGTATGGTTCCGTCAACGTAGCCGAAGAAGCCAGCTCCCCTCAGCTGCGGTGTCACCTGCGCACGCCACATGACGTAGTTGGTGCGGATGAGCTTCTCTGCGACCTGCCCAAGGGAGGCCTGGACGGTGCTTGAGGAGGACGACATGGCTGGAGATGGGTTTTGCTAGATGCGATGGATAGAGGTGGCTCTGTATAACATGTAAAGAAGCGGAGAACGTCGTACCTCTCTCGAGGCGACGGTTTCGTGTTAATATAGGCAGGGGCGTATCCCTGATAAGCATACAATTTAGTTGAGATTACATCTTGGAGATCAAGGAAGAAAGAGATAAGATAGAGATGAAAAGATTACAACCATATACTCTAATAACCTCAATCTATCTAAGGTAAACCTGACTCAACCGAACCGGTGCACTGGTGCGCCCCAATGGACCTGACTAACACGTTGTTTAACATTGTCTGATGCATGTGGGGAAGAGTATTCAGATTCTTGATTGGATATTCTCAGATTATTGGCTGGGTGTATTAACATACATGGCCGCACACTGATTTAAGATTTTAGTGTAAACGAAAAACAGGGGTTCCTGATTAGAAACCGACAGAAGAGTAAAATGCTTGATTAGCAAATACATATAGCTGCAAGAAAATGTGTTTGATTGCTGACTACACAATCTGAACCATACATCTCTGAAATTATATTAGATTCTTGATCTTGGAAATTTAGAGCTGCTGTAGTGTTGTTTTTTATATAAATGGCATGCTAACCTGCTTATTTAATTTAGATGTGTAGGTAGAAGCTAATATTGAACCATGATGTCAGTTCAGAGATGCACTTGACCATTTTTCACAGAAACGTGTGCGTTTTAGCAGCACATGTGCAGTTCTGGTCATTTGACTATAACAAATCGTTAGAAATACAAACCACTTGTACATTCAGAAAAAATAACTTCGTAAACATCGTCGGCTAGTTACACTAGCACATACGTGGTACGTGCTGGTATATATGCGGGTGTTGGTTTTGAACAAATGCTGAATCACATCTCTGGCTTACGAACGGCAGTGTGCGCCTGTCCTGGAACTTAAAACTCAGAACTGTATGCTGCTGCTCTGTCTGTGGATCTCTTGCTGTACGCTTGTCGCAATAAGAAGATAGTTGGAGCCAAAATATTCTAGGACCTGGAAATAGACGTGTACAGAAACTTTTATCACGTAAATAGTTGCACTTAAGTTCACGATTCAGTTCAGAGCCCCTCAACCACTGTACTTGTGCGTTTTACTGTAGTGACAGCAGTGGCTTTTAGGCTAAGCAGTTTATATGCTTCTCTGAGATAGGAGTGGCTTTCAGGCTAAATCTCTGTTGTCCTGAAATGATTGCCTACATTCTACCACAGTACTCTGCAAGTCCAAATTTATTGCCATTTAGCAGATTCCTATTGCAAAATTTAAAGGGTCCTGCTGAAACATACAACATCGAGCCAGTGCCGCCCTTCCTCTTCATCAGTGGTGGCAAGAAGGCTGACACCGTCGCCCGCGGTAGGAGCGATGCATGTTATCAGCAAGGGTCGGCATCCGCTGTAGTGGTTACAACTGTCGTCCGCTTGGCTTGGTTGTGACTGAACTTGTGTTTGTTCTGTCTGAATGTTGCTACAGACCAATATGCTTATGTATTCCTACAAAAATGAGTTATAGTTGTTCATCATACCTGTTGTTCTCTGGGTCGTGTTGTTGAAGAGGGTTTACACCCCACATGTGAACTAATCCCCTGCAACCGAACAACAGCACATGTGAGGGGTTGGTTTTCATGGTGTTTTTTTGTTTCCCTGCTAACGTGGGCTTAACCGAACAAGTCCTGAAGAGATACTGAATTTGATTTTTCGTGCAGTAGATATGCCAAACAGTAGGCACCAATTTCCCAATAAAACCTCTCTTCAAAATAACAATAAACACCTCAAGGGGCAAGATGGATGGCAACAGACCAAATATATACAGGAAGAAAACCGTGCACTCCATCAATTCCTTGATCAAATTTCAAAGTGAATTACATTTACACACACGTCAGTCAAATGTGCCTTGCTTAAGTCGTCGGCCATGAATCTTCCCTCTTGGTCTCTCAACTCACTACATTCTCTCCTTCACTCATTCGAGCCTTGATCAGAAAAGAGACACCGTAGAAGATTGCTGTCAGCTCACTCACTCATCTGCTGCATCATGCACACATTCTCATCATCTCTGGCAGTGGTAATGTGGTATGCCAACCAAATCAAATCAATGGCACCGGCAGATCTAGACAGACGACGAATGATCCAAGCCTAGCTAACCATCGTGAGGCGCGGTGGAGTTGACGAGGGTGGCGATCCTGACCCTGGGCTTGGAGTAGTCGCCGGTGAGCAGCCTGGATGCGACGATGGCGTTGGCGAACTCGGTGAGGTGGATGCCGTCCCAGCTGATGAACTTGGCGTCCATGTCGCACAGCTGCATCTCCCCGGACATGCACATCTTGAAGTGGTTGTAGTTGTGGGGCGGGCCGCCGTTGCCGCAGCACGCCATGAGGGGCCTCTCGACGCCGTACTTGCTGTGGTTGGCCACGAGGTCGTACTTGATGGGGTACAGGTCGGTGAAGACGATGGCGGCGTCGGCCATGCGCTGCCGGAGCTGGTTGCAGGTCTCGGCCAGCTTCTCGTTGAAGGCCTTGGCGACGTTGTTGTACTTGTTGAGGCAGCCGTTGGCGTCGAGGTCGCTGTCGTCGTCCCTGGGGATGGACAGCTTCTGCGGCAGGCAGCCCAGCGCCCCCGTCCCGTGGATCCAGAACTTCCTCGCCCCGTGCGCGTACAGGGTCTGCAGGTACGTGTGACGATCGCTTCCATTATTTGCACCACATATCAATGGAGATTTACTGAAATACAGAGGGGGCCAACCATGTTTTTACCTCCATGGCGAATTTGATGTGACCAACTATGGCGGGGATCTTGGCGAGCACTTGATCGTAGGGGAGGTGAAGATACGCGGAGAGATCGTTGTGCCCGATGTCGATGGCGTAGATGGCGTTCCGGAACCCCTCCCGGTCGATCGGCGTCCTCTCGCCTGCATCACATCTCACAACAAGCAGCCATCAAGGTACTACAATGGTTTTACTTTTCGTCGGAGAGATTATTATCCTTCCACTTTCTCTGCTTGAACAGCAGACTGAACTATTCTTTAGGACTTGGATTTTGTCATGACACAAGACACGAACTATTCACAGGACAAATTACGCGTGCAGTGCGGTTGTCATGTCTGCATCAATCATTATTCCTCTAGAGACTACTAGCTGTGAATTAGGTGGGAACATGTGATTTAATTTTAAACATGTTCCTCAGCAATAATAATAATAATCTTGATGGAGATGTACACTGCATATGCTTGCACAGTTTGGGACCATCAGTGTAGCTTCTGCTTAAGTCAAGGCTCAGCACAATAATAAGTAACCTAACATGTTCCTCTTCCAAACGCGACACATAAGCCGAATCTAACATACACAACATATGTTAGTCATCTAGGGGTAGTTTGGGACCATTGGCGTAGCTTGTGCTAGATGCAGATGCACACAACATGTTGGGATGGTTTGGGACCATGAGTGTAGCTTGTGCTTAAGTCAAGGCTCAGCGCAATATAAGCTTACGTAATAAGCTAGCTAAAATGTTCTTCTTCCAAAAGCGACACATGAGCCGAGGCTAAGATACACAACATATGTTGGGCAATAGGCATCTTCGGATAGTTCGGGACCATCGACGTGGCTTCTGCTTAAGTCAAAACTCAACACAACAACCTTACACAACAAGCTAGCTAGCTAAAATATTCGTTCTTCCAAAAGCGACATTTAAGCCGAAGCAAACAGACGCGAAATAAGATAGAGTATTTTTGTTTCCTCCATCAAATTTTCACCATACGACAAATCGTGGTTTCTGTTGTTGTACTAGTTTTATCAGCTCATACGTTTGTGCAAACAAGTTGTCGATAAGGATGGGCAAACCTTTGTTGAGCAGCTCGAAAGACCTGGTTCTGAAGTAGAGGAACTGATGGAGCTGCACGTCGAGCGAGAAGGGGGATCCCCCCGGCGTCGCCGTCGACCCGCCGATGGCGAAGTTGGCGCCGTTGCTGAAGTCGGAGCCCAGCGCCTTGAGGTACGGGCTCAGATGAGGCGTGCCCAGGCTCTCACCTGCGTCATGGCATCGTCAAAAAAATGATATTGCCCATGAGTGAGTGGAGTGCAAATACTTTTGACGCAATGGCTTCCCTTTGCGCAAGCGTACATGTGGAGTGGCCGCATAAATCGCCTTTATGATCCCATTACAGCGATGTCCCATTTGCTTGTCGGCACACGCATTCGTGCGTCCTCTTCACCTTTTTTTTTCTCACAATGCCCGTCCCTTTCCCTTAATTTAACTTAATTGCTTTTGAAGATGGTTTAAGGTCTCCTCTTTGCTTTTCTTAGGGTGCTATGCTACTCTGAAGCTGCCCTTTCTTCAAAGCTTCAGAAAAGAAGTCCCCATTTGTGCTGTGTGTAGAGAATAAACTTTGAAGATTCGTTTGTTTGGGTCAGTGCATTGCACACCGACACTAGCTAGTGTAGCACCCTAATTGGTTCTAGATGAAATCGTTGGTTTGGTTAATTGCTTTTCTTGTAATGATGCTTTGGTGTTTAGAACTGTTCCCCCAGCAGTGCCAAGTATTTTGCTTACATTGATCCCTGGACGTATTCGTGGAATTTTATTAAGGTTTCATGGCAGCTCTCCCGGTCGTTGGATCTCGATCCAACCTCCCATGTGCGTATTACTCTTCCCTTCCTCACCAAAAAAAATTGAAATAAAATTCACCCACCACTGCCTTATCCTAAACATGGCCGCTCTGTTCCCAGCAAAGTCCCATGTCGCAGCAGAGAGAGAAGAAGAAGCAGGGTGGGGGATGAGAGGCTCACAGATGAAGTCGATGACGAGGCGGCCGTCGGAGAGGCGGCCGGTGGGGCGGCGGAAGTAGGTGCGGCCCTCCGGGAGCGCAATGTTGAGGCCGCTGGCCGCCGCCATGCCGCCCGTGTCGGAGTTGGAGTCCCCGAAGTTGAAGATCACCACGGGGGACCTCTTGGTGGCAGCCTCCGCGTCCGGCTCCGCGGCGCGGGTGGCGACGGCCAGGCCGCTCCCCCAGGACCCGTAGCCGGCCGCCACGACGGCCGCGGCGGGCATGTACTTGAGGCAGCCGACGAGCAGCACGGCCCCCACCCCCGCCAGCAGCACGTAGTACTGCAGCCTCAGGCTGATCTTGCCGGCGCCCACGCCCCCTCCGCCGTTCATCTCCCTGCCTTCTTGCTCTGTCTCTCACCACGCACACCCGACGACGGACGACCCGAGTGGCTAGCTAGCTGCCGGCTCCGTGCTCTGGCTGGAGAAGTGTGTGCTTGGCGTGGCTGTGTACCCGTGTATGTATATGTAGGCGGTTGACGGGTCCGTGAATGGAGCCCGCCTTCGCTTCTTCCGTGTCATTGGGAGGGAGGGAGGGAGGGCGATGCGATGCATGTCATGTCACGCACCGCGTCGGAGAAGAGGGGTCGGGAAAAGTAAAGGTGACGGCGATGGATGCGCGCGCGCGTGTTGCAATGAATAATAATACTCTCGCCATCGGCGCGAGGTGCATGAGAGTCAAGAAAAGATAGGGGCGGTTGGTGAGATGCGGATGCGGGGGGCAGCGGGCTAGTGACCAGTGAGTGGCTCTCGTGTCGCGCTTCCACCGGATGCAACGGCGACGGCGCATCGGCATCGTACACGACAGCCAGCGGGGCCGTAGCGTGGCTTCTTTCGGCCATTCATGGGAGTCCTGTCAGGGCTCGGGCTGGCTCCCCGCGCCACGGGCAACAGGGGTGGGCGGCGCTGCGCCCGCGTCCTCTACGTGCCGCCCGCGGCCGTGGGCCCTGTGATTTTCTCCTCACATTTACTGTAAACTCAGCATCTTAAGACAGAACTCATTATATTTGACCAATAATGTTAGACCTACGTAATCAACCTACGTAAACCTACGTTCTATCCTCTCTAAACCAATCGCCCCCCTCTCCCTGAGTTTCACGTTGTGGGACTGGGCATAATTTTTCTTCCAATTTGACCCCCTGACCGCGGAGGTGGGTCATTACCTTTTTTTTTGCAGGGAGGTGGGCCATTACCTTGTTGACACCAAACCATGGAAACCACGTGTACACCCTATCAAGTCTTTGTTCGGTTACACCCTGTCCCAAGGG